TAGACATTAAAAATATAATTCAATCTATCACAAAAAAGTTGAGGTGGACGTGGCACATCGGGATTAAATGACTCATTATTGACATTTTGGTGCAGGAGCATAACTCGCATAGGATACATTTGTTTAAAAAGGGACTTTGCACACAATTACCTCATCCATTTGGCCAGTTTGTGTTAAAAGCTCAATTGTTTCAGCTTTATATAGGAACGGGTTTTGGAATTTCCATATTTTCAAATTTTGACATTGACCTTTGTTGACCTTGACCTTTGTAGGATCGAATGTCATTGACCTTGGCTATAGATTCATACCTTCATATTTGAAGTCTAATGACAGCTGCTGGTTTAATAGCACCTTCCAAAGTCAGAAAATATTGTAACTTTAGACTGTTACACGTGGCACGTGACCTAATTAACCTAGAAGGTTAGCAAAGTTCCACTCTGTGCCACCTGTCATTATATTTATTTCTATATCGCTGTGCAAGTGATGTATTGCTCATTTTTCTATATGGAACTGGAAGCCCCAGTATCCCTGTGTTTTAAATACATTTTTAAAATTTCTTGGCTATTGCCAAATTCAATTTTGAAATGAAAGGTCTGCTTCTAACATGTCTTCCATTATATTTCTATCAAGTCTTCACAGAATGACACATCATGAACAGAATTCAAACTCATAGATTGTCTTGAAATGTAAATGATTCATTATCCTGCAATCTTAGTCATTGGAGACAGACAGTAGCCTCAGCTTCCACCACTGGATTGAGATTAAATGGAATTCCATTCACAACTCCTCTTTCTTGACAACAATAATCCTTCCCAAAAACTATATTTTTTTCCCAAGGCTGTCGATTTAGTCAACCAGACATTTTTCAACAAACTGTGAAATCTGATATCAATTTTTTCTCTTGAGAGGAGGTCTATTATTATATAGGCCAACTGGTATTGACATAATGATTGGCAAAAGAGAGGTAAACTGTGTCATTTTAACTTTATCACTCATCTTTTTAACACACAGGGATGTGAGAAAGGTATTTAAAAAAACCGGAAAATTTCTATGACCCCTACAGAATCATTCCAACAACATAATTGTCAGGGAATGGAATGGCAGTTTGTGCCCTCTCCTTGGCAATTCTTGACGGATTTTGACACAACTTGGTGTGAGTGTTTGCAATCACTCAAGGATGAACACTATTCAAAATCAAAAAGATCGAAAACTAATTTTTATGAGTTATTGCCCTTCTTCTTGAAAGTGCATTCAATTTTTAGCTCATAAACACTCTAGAAGGTACAATTCTTGACAGATTTTGACAAAACTTAGTGTGAGTGTTTGCAATCACTCAAGGATGAACCCTATTGAAAATCAGAAATATAGCTTGCGTTGCAAGGTAACATACGCCCACTGGCAGCTGTCAGAAATAATAAAACAGTCTTTAGTGACTAAAGTACGAATTTTCTCATATTGAAGAAATTATTCATACTGAATAATTCCACAAAATATTTTAAAATCAATATCAATAACCCAAATACAACAAACAATTAAATCACACAGCTCTAATCAAGGGCAAAAAACAACTTTTGACGCGTGTTTACAAAGTCAATGGCAATAACTCAAGAAATGTTCATCAAAAATATCTCTTGTTAGAAGTTGTCCGAGATCTTATCAATTTCAATGATCACACCAAGTTTCATCAGAATCGGTTGAAAACTGAAGCTTCTATTGTGCTCACGAACAAATTTTAACGTGTTATTACAAAGTCAAGGGAAATAACTCGAAAACCGTTCATCAAAAATGCATCAAGTTAGAACTTGTCAGAGTTCTTATCAATTCCAATGATCACAACAAGTTTCATCAGAATCAGTTGAAAACTGTAACGTCAATCCTGCTCACAAACTATTTTTAACAAATTCGACGCATTTTAACAAAGTCAAGGGCAATAACTCAAAAACCGTTCATTGAAAATGCGTCAAGTTAGAACTTGTCCGAGATCTTATCAATTCCAATGATCACACCAAGTTTCATCAGAATCGGTTGAAAACTGTAGCTTCAATCCTGCTCACGAACTATTTTTAACAAATATTGACGCGTTTTTACAAAGTCAAGGGCAATAACTAAAAAACCGTTCATCTAAAATGCGTCAATTTAGAACTTGTCCGAGATCTTATCAATTCCAATGATCACTCAAAGTTTCATCAGAATCGGTTGAAAACTGTAGCTTCAATCCTGCTCACGAACTATTTTTAACAAATTTCGATGTGTTTTAACAAAGTCAAGGGCAATAACTCAAAAACCGTTCATCGAAAATGCGTCAAGTTAGAACTTGTCCAAGATCTTATCAATTCCAATGATTACACCAAGTTTCATCAGAATCGGTTGAAAACTGTAGCTTCAATCCTGCTCACGAACTATTTTTAACAAATTTTGACGCGTTTTAACAAAGTCAAGGGCAATAACTCAAAAACCATTCATCAAAAATGCGTCAAGTTAGAACATGTCTGAGATCTTATCAATTCCAATGATCACACCAAGTTTCATCAGAATCGGTTGAAAACTGTAGCTTCAATCCTGCTCACGAACTATTTTTAACAAATTTCGACGCGTTTTAACAAAGTCAAGGGCAATAACTCAAAAACCGTTCATCGAAAATGCGTCAAGTTAGCACTTGTCCGAGATCTTATCAATTCCAATGATCACACCAAGTTTCATCAGAATCGGTTGAAAACTGTAGCTTCAATCCTGCTCACGAACTATTTTTAACAAGTTTTGACGCGTTTTAACAAAGTCAAGGGCAATAACTCAAAAACAGTTCATCAATCCTGCTCACGAACAATTTTTAACAAATTTCAAGGCGTTCTAAGTCAAGTGCAATATCTCAAAAACCGTTCATCGAAAATATGTCAAATTCGAACTTGACCGAGATCTTATCAATCTAAAGCATCACACCAAGTTTCAAAAAAACCATATAAAAACTGTAGTCTCTATAGTGCTCACAAGAAGTGTTGACCGACGGACAGGGCGACAACAATATACGACCACATATTCATGTGGGCGTATATAAATATATCCATCATTACTTGTATTTTGATTAATCCCCCATTTAAGATGTTAATTTGATCTATTTTCACCCGATAATGTGTATTTCAAGCCCACGTGATAATGTTTTTGTAACAACATCCGGTACATTCTACTTTCGCTTTTACAATAAATTTTACGGTAGCCCTAATTTTACTTAAAAACGAAATCTTGAAGTTTTCATTGTATATTATAATAAATGTCAATTCTAAGAGAAATGTAGGCATCATTACAGAAAACTTTGTTATTTTTCCTGTGTCATGTAGGTCTATAGACTTATGATAAATAATTCATTTACATAGCTTAAAGCTTATTCAAAAAAAAAAGAAAAAAAAGAAAAGCATTTTGGAGCTTAAAATTCACAAATTTACGTGCTTTGCAAAAAATCTCTCGACTTTCCACCCAATCTCCAGATTTTTTTCCTGACCTGTACACATATACCATATATTTCCAAAATATAATGCGCAGT